AGATCTATCTCAATATCACCACTAGAGCAGCACTACTAGTAGGTAGTATTACCGAAATCAATGTCGCGGTTATTACCGAGCTTCAAGTTTCCTGGACAGGTCGAGTCCTCATGGACAAGAAGAATGGTACCTCCGCTCTCCACTCTCTTCGCTGGCACCATCGGATTGGCGAGTACAAGTGACTACCCCCCTGGAGGTACAGGCACTCAGTAAGATTGGACCCGCTCCCCGCCTCCTTGATGGATCCATAGTGCTATATTGAGAATGCGGCCATGCATAACACACGAGGTCTGATATCCCTGATGTGACTCTGATAAATTATTAATCGCTTTCAACCTATCCGCTTATGACAGCCGATAATGATGCTCTTACCGAGTCTTACCGCCAAGACCTTGGAGGGTACGGGTCCCGAGTCGGTAGAATACGTGCGTTGTTAATCTTCGAAATGTCCAGAACGATGCTTTCTATTATGTCGCTCGCAGATAGTATGTTCTCATACTCGCTTAACTATGAATTGAGCGTAACGCTGCATTGCCACAGGGAACGTTTGCGCGACGCGCATCCTCTGGCGGTCGTGCCACTCCTGCAATTACGATCACTTACTCCATGTAAATTTTTCAAGTCAAAGCTTAAACATGTTTTTGGACTTATCTTTACACACCTTGGTCCAAACGAGCTGAAATTCCGGAGGCTGTGTTTGCGCGTCCGAGCCCTCCACGGACCAAAGGGGGCTTATGTGCATAGAGACCAATATTGAGCGCTGTTGGTGATTGACAAACGGAGTAAAACCAAACCGGAACTTTCTGTCAGTGGCCCATTGCCGGGCACAGTTGTTGGCGCTGATCAAGTTTTTGGCCATCGTGAATTGACAGCGAGTCGGCGACAACCGAATTAAAAAAAGTATATTATCACAAGTCGTGGTTGACGTTGAAGACCGCCAGGTACCCTAGTATAGAAAAATCATAATAGGAAGGAAAAATATCGGCTCACATTTCGGTCATGTATTCGAAGACATTGTCATATTCGCGTGCGGGGAGGTCGACAGAATTGGATCGTCAGTCTGACCCAGCACTACACGGCAATTGTTCCGCTTGCTACGACTGACCAAAAATACAAGTCCAAAGGTTGTGCAGAACTTTGTAAGAACTTTGCAAATTGAAGGACCAATTGAGGCCTACTAGAGTCCACTAGGGTCCACATGGTTTCTAATGTGAGACGTCCGCGTCAGCACCTGCGTTGCATGTGGGTATGCTGACTTGGTCTCGCCGTGAAGAACTTTGTAACGAATTTGCAATTTCAGCACCCTGCCAGTGGGGACACAAATATATAATAACAGTTTATAACCCTTTGGTTGGAGATAGGAGATAAGGATAATGTAATCAGTACACGTTCTTGGAACAATGTCTTATTCCCGGTCTATTCTATCCACTGATGCGATCTTACCTCGTCTACCACACTGCCTATCAATAAATTTTTTTGGCTAGCGTGACTCTCGACGAGCATCCTTAAAGCCAACGTAAGGCAGTGAGTATAGTAAGCAATTAATATCGCTGTGGCGGCGGCAGCTAAGGTGATACCTCATGTCCTAGCTTGCCGCGTGGTGAACTATCATGCATTATCTAGCTTCGATCCCGGAGCTTCAAATCTCTTCTTCATCTTCCTTATTAATATATCCGTGCAGGGTGAAAGCTCTCGGCGGGAGGTGATGTTCGCGGGAACATAAGCGCCATCGGGTAGCTGTATGATACAGATTATTCAAATGGTCGTATCCACAGCCGAAATGAATGTTATTCAAGTTGCCTAGTTGAAGAAAGTTGGGTGGAATTATAAGGCGTTCATTTACATGGGCGGCGCGGTGTTATGGTTCAGATAGTTTCACTATCAGTGATGCATGCATGGGTACTCCTCTAGGGAAATTTTATTGAATTGAATTTCCGCGCTCGCGACGATGATTGCCCAGCGAGGGGTGCTCATTGCCAATACGTTGGGTTCGAGCGAAATATGACAGTTAATTGTCGACGCCAACGATTTAATAACATACAATGGCGATTCGGGTGTTGCTATAAGTTGCTGTGCGAGGAAAATTCATACTCCCGGAGAGCGGCGCATGTGTCGTCATACTAGCACCTTAAACATCGATTATTGCCCACCCAGATAATTCGCTTCAATTTCTAGAAAACCCTTGTGTGATATCAAAAATCAGAGAGCAGTAAACAGAGCGAGCGTACATCTCATGCGTCGCCTGTTGCGCAAGGCAGACTGTTGTTCCTGTCTGTACTTCAGCTTGCACTATCATTAGCACAGCCTAACGACTTACTTTAGACAGCAACGGAGAAAGGCTAGCCTCGAATTGGCAAAGTGGATACCCTCTCAATAACACAGTACCAAATGCGAGGCTTTCACAAGCATGGACTGTGCACACCCTGGACGACCAGATAGAACGAAAACAGTCCTGTCTTCTTTATTATGCTGACTGTCTAAAGAATGAGCAATGAAACTCGGAATGTCCTCTAGGACAAAAACTTCTTGTTTTTTTTTGACTTGAGGTGTGCTGATATTGTTGATCAGCATGTGATAGATATCGAATCATTTTAACTTTACGGACGACACTGATTGGATGGCAAGAACCTCGCCATAGAAAAACGAACACATTAATTCAGCGTTACGACAGCCATGACTGGAAAAACTTAAAACCGCACACATGTGCAAGGCGATGAATTAGATGGTAAGCAGTAACTTATGGGCTCTTGGGAAGACGGAAAAACCTAAAACCGCGCACATGCGTAAGATAACAGCCTAGACGACAAGTAGTAACTTACGAGTTCGAGTTTCTTGCGGGGATAGATGTAGGATGTATTTGGTCAAGTACCTTCACTAAGTCCACGTTCTGCTGCTAGACCCAACCTTATCTTATCAGATATGGGTGTTGCGGGCGCTAAATGAACGTGAGTTCTTGTAGGCGTCAGAGGTGAATATGCGACACGTCGAACGGGGGCAGTATGCATAGTTACGAGCATGGTAAACGTACACCGACATTCGAGGAGGTGGCCGCATCCTGAACAGGGACGACGAGTAGGTTTGACCCACAACGAATCGTAACGAACCGGAGGCATGATACATCTTGGCGATTACCACGGAGACTAATGGGTTATTAGTATTATTAGCAGTCCTGGTGAATGAATGAGTTTGTTGGATTCGCTGTGAGGAGGGGATCAGATCGTGATGAAGGACAAGGTTAATTGAACCAACGACTCGAATCGATGTTCGAGGATCACTGACGTTATTCTGGAGAAGATCTTCGGGAAAGCGGATGGCATGGGGGTTTGGATGTATTTGTGTCCGCAGCGTGGACCCGTTAAGTCCGTTAAATGTCAGGTCCCTTGGGGGTGTCATCTTTTTTCGGATCGGCGGGTACATGCGGAGGCACTTCTTCATTCCTTCATTCCATCGTGTTCCATCGACTATGGGTATTGTTGAGATAGTATAGAGGACTGCCAGACATCGTTGGAGAGGGTGTTGAGAGTAACGCCACAGTAAGATAGATAGTTTAGCGTGACATGTGACAGGGAAGTGTGACTGTACATTGTGTTGACTGTTGGCTTGTTTTTTCGCGCAAGCAGGCAAGACACGACAACCATTGGCGACCTGTCACCACGCCATTCTAGCCCTTGATTCAAGGGCATTACAGGATAACACAAGAGACTTCAATTTCACTACTTTAACGCTTCAACTGGGTCTGTGCGTTATTCTTTTGCCGAGTTTCGTTCCCTGGGAACAGTTCCGCAGCAGTCGTTCCGAGTTACTTTTGAGTCGCAGGACAGGTTTTTTGTTGGTAAGTGAAATCCATTGGTACAATCAAAAGTAAACGCAGGAGCATGCCCGCGCTTTCCGGCCGGTCAATAAAATCTCATCATATCCATTTTCTCGTTTAGCATTTGTTATCACAGATCTTCGACGCTATCTCTCGATCCGAATTCCTCTAACTTGGTCAGAACCTGTTGTAAAACGTAAGCTCCACTCGTCCCCTCTACCGTCCCCCCATGTTAACTATATGTTCCCGTCTAGCACTAACGTCTGGGTCGGGCGCTAACGACCCCAAACTCGTGCGTCTCTCATGCATGTCCTAGTTGGACACTGTCCTCATCAACATCTAATAACTTAGACGACTTACAATGAACTACCCCCCGCAATTAGCAATGCAACCTAGTTCAACTCAACTAGGTCACAATCAATTCTCCCAACGACCTACCTCCTCCAGCATGTCCTTTGGAATGCCCATGAACACCAATCCCGGCATCTCCCAAATGAATGGTGCAAACATGCCCATGAATCCCGGCAACAACATGGGTGTACCTATGAACCCAGCCATGTCGATGAATCCACACAACATGTCCATGAACAACATGCCGATGAACATGAACATGAACAACATCAATCCATCCATCCTCGCCGCTTTTCAGAACCCCCAAAATTCACAGAATGGCATGATGGCCAAATTTCCAAACTACCAGGCCTCTCAGCAGTCCATTCCCCCTTCCACGCCTAATCTTGGTTCTACGCAGGGCCAGGGCCAGTCCATATCGCCCTCGCAGCTCATGTCAGCTTCCCCGTCACAGCTTATGGCTCAACAACTACATTCGCAAGGCTCTAATTTGACGCTCACCCCTGCGCAGCTCCTTCAACAGCAGCAAGGCGGCATGAGCCAAGCCTCTATGGGCACCATGCACCCGGGTATGAGCGGAATGGCCGGGATGAACATGGGTACCGGTGGAATGCAGAATTTGAATATTGGCAACGCCATGCCCAACATCAACGGAGGTGCGATGAACATGCCTACCGGTATGCAGAACATGAGCGCCAACATGGGCATGTCCAACATGATGAGTGGTATGCCAAACCTCAGCAACCCTCAGGTACGCATGCCCATAACGCCTCAACGTTGGTCGCAGATGTCGCCGCAGGATCGTGCCGCCTTCCAGCTGCAACGGCACCAACTTGGCCTAGCTCAACCGCCAAGCGCTCCTAATCAGCAACATCACGAGCGGGGCCCAAGCCTGACGCACGATCGCCCACCGAGCCAACATGGGAGACACGACCGTGCCTCAAGTCAATCCCATGACAGGCAGCCCAGCCAGCAACCGCAGGACATCTCTCAGGTCACCGATCGCCCCTCCTCATCTGCTTCCATTCGCTCCCATCACTCCCATCATAACCTTGATTCTGGCTTGATGCCCCCACCATCCTCTCGACCCGGTACTTCTAGCAGCGGCATGGGTGTTCCAAACGTTAATCCACGGATGAATCAGCAATCCATGAATCTAAACCCGCACCTTAACATGCCGCTCAGTGCCAACATCAATCCTAACATGAACGTCAGCAGTAACATCAACCCTCACATGAACCAGGCCTCGAATATCAACCCTGTGATGAACCCAATTCAGGCCCAGCAGAACATGAACTCCGTCATGCACATGAACATGGCACCGTCGAATATTAATCCCGTGATGAACCAGGTTCAGAATATGAATATGAATCCGCATCTGAATCACCCTCCGACGAGAGCGGATTCTGCGCATGGACTTGCTGCGTCGCCAAAGCAATCACCGAGGATGTCGGGGATGATGAATCTTGCTGGTGGCCCTCCTGGAGGCATGCCCGGTAGCATGGGCGGCCAGATCAACCTTGGAATGACAGGCATGCCAAGCGGTGGAATGGGAATGCATGGTGCCCCCATGAGTGGCGCCCCTGGTGGTGGCATGAACATGAGTATGGGCGGCAATATGAACACCGCCATGGGAACAATGGGCAATGCTGGTGTAGGTAGCATGGGGAATGTACCCAGTATGGGCGGCATGGGTAATCTTGGCTCAGTGAACATGAATGCCAACACTATCGGCGGTTTAGGAGCCGGTGGCAGCATGCTAGGCGGAGCGGGGGGAGGTCTTATGGGCCCCCCTGTGATTCCTCAATCCATTCAGCGACCAGAAAGAGACCAGATCATGCAGAGAGAACGCTCGAGCTCGCTCCATGCACGTGAACAGGTGAGGAGTGCACTTCCGTCCTTCACGTATCGTAAACTGACTCGGCAATCGTTATTTTACCCGTTATTGCGTTGCCGTGCTCCAGAGTATACCTCCGGCGTCTGCTGCACCGTTTATGGGTCAGAGTCTTGATAATGCCAGCGTCCAGGGATTGGGAAATATGGCTGGTGGCATGGGTGGCATGCCTCGGCAACAATCCCAACCGCCAATCAACACGCATCAGCAATCCCCTGCCCGTCAAATCCCCTCCGGCCACCGTTCCCCCATACCTCTTGTTCGCAAGGCCGGAGAGATACCCGCCACACCGGCGATTTCCGGCACCCCAAACCCCGCCGCACCACATCCAGGCGCAGCTGCGGTCCCGAAACTCCCCCCTCATCTTGCAGGGCTCAATCCCGCCGTAACCAAGATCTCGTTAATCCCTTACACTGTACATTCGAAACCCGAAACAACCACCGATGGCGAAGACGAGAAGGTGCCTGTCGAAGGTGCGACTGATTCCGAAGACGCCGCTACTTCCTCGCAGGTCAAAGTCGAAGATCCAGTAAAATTGCTGACCCCATCGGAGATCACCATGTTGAAGGAAATCATGAAACGCGATACAGCATACGATGCACTACACCGTACCAAACAAGCACGTATGGCCCAGGAATTGCGCACGCATGGTCCTGCGTCGCGAAGTGCCTGGTGGGAACGTGATCACGTTCCGACCATGGGCATGAACCGTAGGCCCGAACGTTTCGATGTGAGATATCCAAGAGCACCCAATGCGGACCGGGGCTCGAATATCAATTCGAGGAAGAAGGGTGTGAGGAGAGAAGGCATTCGGATGTGAGTTTTTGCTGTGTCTTCTTTTGTTTGGGGAGATTGATTGATTCCCGCGGGTTCAATAGCCCTAGGAAACTTCCACCTCAGCTGGCCAACCGCCCTGAGCAACTCGTGCCGATCAGACTTGAGTTCGATGTGGAGCATCATAAGATGCGCGAAACCTTTGTATGGAATCTCAATGGTAAGCCTCTTGCCTAGAGTAGCTTTCGTTGCTGACGTCGTTTAGATCCTGTCATCACTCCCGAGCATTTTGCGCAGACGCTCGTCGAGGATTATGCGCTACCCCAGAATTATCACGGTGTCATCACGAGAGCAATTCAAGAGCAGTTGAGCGACTTCAAGGCTCATATTGCCCGTGTTGACGGCGACTGGAAACCTCCATCCTCAGCGAGGGAGATGGCGCTGACGGACGGCTATAAGGCAGACGAAGAAGACGGGAATGACGCAGACATGCGGGAGACGGACGCTGAAGACATTGCCGACGACTATAATCGCAAGCTTCTTGAAGATGATGACCTGACCATGGTGGACCGGGGTGGTCTTGACGACGAGGACATGAAATGGTGGGAATCATGGCGCAAACGATCACGGCAAGAAAGCGCATTTACTCGCAGCATATCCTTGAGGAATCAACGTAAGCGTCGTAAGGTGGCCTCAGTCACGGTCGAGGAAAGCGACGCATTCGAGACTGACAAGGAAATACCACACATTGTGGATGAGATCGAGATCGATGAGAAGACGGTGCATGAAGATTTAAGGATCTTAATCAAGGTATTTGATTGATCCTCGCTTGCATTTTTGTGGACTGGTGCTAATCTTTGATCCTAGCTCGACATTATCGTCGGATCTATGAAGCTGGATGATCAGTTTGAATGGGATCTTGAGAATGTAGATGCTTCCCCTGAGCAATTCGCGGACGTATATGTGAAAGAGTTGGGCCTTGGTGGGGAATTCAAGTGCGTAGCGTCAAGTGTCCATAACTTCGTCACTGATCTCTTCTCTAGAACGGCCATCGCACATTGCATACGCGAACAAGTTCAAATTTATCAAAAATCGCTGTTTCTCGTTGGTCACCCCTCAGATGGTTCTACTGTCCAAGACGATGACCTGCGCATGTCCTTCCTGCCCAGCCTTGCATCCGGCGCTAGGGCAATGGATCAAGTATCATCGTTTACACCTTTGCTCAACTATCTCAGCGACGGCGAGATTGAACGTAGTGAGAAGGAGAGGGAGAAAGAGCTCACCAAGCGCAGGAAACGGAATACTCGAGGACGTCGAGGTATTGCCTTGCCAGATCGGGAGCCTAATCGCACGTACCGCACACCTGCCTTGGGTTTCCCAGAGCTGGATGCTGCAACCCTTGCGTTGGCCGCTGCGAACGCGCCAACTTCGAGACGTGCTGCGGCCGCCGCCGCTTCTCTCACGATCGCCAACATGGTTGCCTCAGAAAATGGCACAAGCATCATGCCGCTGCAGCTGCCTCCCCAGCAGATCACATCCACTGCTGTCACTACTGGAAAAGAGAAGAAACCGAAAGGGTTGTTCAAAGCGCCATCGTATCCTCCTTCTGTCCTTCGGCCTCGTGCTCAGGTCACTGCTCCCACACCATCGACAGCGGTTGAATCGACGTCGATGTTGCCTCCATCGTTCCTTGATACTGAAGCACCTGCCTCCTCAGTTAGTATCCCTGCCCCCGATTCGCGAGCTGTCGCAAAGAAAGCCAAGGAGCTCGAAAGGGAGGCTAAGGAAAAAGAGTTCGTCGACGGACAGCATGCTAATGTGATCAATGGGGTGTGGCACTGCTCTAACTGCGGCTGTCCGGATAGCGTTGCTATCGGACGAAGAAAGGGTCCTTTGGGCGACAAATCGCAATGTGGCACATGCGGTGCGTTGATACTATTGGCTAGTACAATTCTTTCTGACGCTTTATCGTTATTCAGGCAAATTCTGGCATCGACACCGCAGACCACGTCCTGTAACATATAACCAAGATCCTGAGTACCATTTGAGCCTCAGGCGCGAAACAGAACAGGTCAAAACCGGGGTGAAACGAAAAGGACGAGCGCCGAATTCTCAGGTGGCTGCTGATGGCCAAGATACGCCTAGCCGACAGAAATTAGACGTTTTCGTCGATATCTCTACTCGATTACCTGTACCAGCTTCCGAAGACGACAGAGCCATGTCGCCAGTATCGACTGCGTCTAGTGATACAGAAGCTCCTCTTGCCCAGCGCGTCACAAAAGTCAACGGTGCCAATCACGCAGGAGTTGCGTCGTCATCTGGGACCCCTCCTCCAACAAGCAACGGGATTGTACGTCCCAAGTCACCTAGGGAAAGTAGTGCTCCGCTTCCAAATGGCTCATACGTGAGCGTTTTCCCTCTGAGACCAGGATCTTATTGATGCTGAATGTTAAGTGAACAGGCCCCTCCGCCATGGCTAACCACGGCAATTCGTTCGCTTCAAGAACAATACCCAGATGACAAGTTCGAAGCAATCCTACGTCGAGCTCCCCCGCGTACTGTATTAGAGTGGAGGATGAAATGTCTGGATTGCCCCGGCAAGGTTCGTCCAAATCACTAGACTTGGTCCAACGCAGACTTATTTGGTTTGCAGTTATATAACTCTGGGCCTGGGGATACGCTGCAGAACTATGAAGTCCATCTCAGAAACCGACAACATCGCTTACGGGTGAACTCCCGCCTGACGCAGGCGCCAGCATCATAACGGACGATTTGCATTGTATTGGCTGGCTTGCGCTATTTTAGTATTTTTCTTTGTGCCATTTGTTGTGTGCTCATCTGCTATCTGTATAACGTATATACCTTTGCTTGTAATCGCTATTGGATTACGTAACCCTGGTCGTCTGCTGGAGAACCGTTATCCCTGAAACCGCCCGGCACGCACTACGGCAAGAACGGCGGCAAAGCTGGTGGCTAGTAACAGACGGCACGTCGGATATTGAAATACACTTGGAGGCCCGTTCTACTACAGCTGCTACCAACGACTGATATACCTGCTCACCAGTGCACTCTTCCCATCATTGATACCGCCCTGCTTGAACTTTGCAGGAAGAAGTTTTCCGCACCCAGGCTTCGGACAATGACTGTTGCAGGGTGCCGTACTACGCGCCACACTGTTTTGCGTCGGAAGGGCGGTTTCAGTGACCTTTTGGTCGTCTGGCAGAAATGATCAAGCTAAGGCTAGAGCCACGATATGGTACATGGGCGTTCTTCCAGCTTCAAAATCGGAACCTTGTAACGACTCTTTATCTCCCTACTCCGACCATGTCCGACATGATAGTTTGGCGACCAGAAGATGATCCAAACATCAGACCCCCACTTCAGGAAGGCAAGGTGAATAGGCCAGACATACTCAATATGATTGAGACGTCAATCGACGGACTGAGTGGAGAGCTGAGGATGCTAAGTCTCGATATCCATGGTAATCATCATGCTTCCATTTTTATCGACGCATCCTACGCTCACGCATCTTGTAAAGACCATCCAGAGCTGATGTTTGAAGAAAAGTATGTTGGATCTCATCATGCCATATGTCATAGCTAAGAGCATTGTCACAGATATGCCCATGACGCATACACTGCGTTCATGGAAAAACATGGTTTCACAGTTATCAAAAATCATCATCTTGAGACTGCCTGGGTGGCTACATACACTCATGGACGGGGAGGGCGCGTTTTGGGTATCAACTCTGAGATGGATGCGCTCCCTGGAATCGGACACGCTTGTGGACACAATCTTGTTGGGGTATCTGGAGTGGCGGTAGCCCTTGCAGCTAAAGCTGCCATGGAGAGGCTGAACATCGATGGAAAGGTGGTTCTGCTCGGTACACCTGGTATGTCGTGTCTGCATTCGTGACGTCATCGGCAAGATAACATGGGACAGCCGAGGAGGGTGGCCTTGGCAAGGTCATACTGTATGAAAAGGGGGCATACGACGAGATGGACGTGTGCCTCATGTTAGTTCCTTTACTTGCCAGATGACCAGCATGACTTAACCTACCTTGGAGGTCCCATCCCACACCTGGCCCCCGCCATTTCATTAGTTTAACTAACTGCTTGGCTTGTTCTTTCATCACTGTAAAGTATCAAGGCCATACGTGAGCGTCTCACACTCTTTATCAACTAGTGGGATCTAATTCTTTACATTAACAGTGCTCACGCTGGGTTGAGTCCTTGGGAGGGAAAAAATGCACTTGATGCGGCTGTCCTAGCATATAACAACGTCTCTCTTCTTCGTCAGCAGATTAAACCTACTCATCGCGTGCACGGCATCTTTGAAGGAAATAATTGGGCTCCAAACAGTGAGATTTTCACATACTCCATAGAAACACCTAGAAGATAATATTTGGAAAATCAGTCATCCCGGACCAAGCAACAATGAAGTAAGTCGGTCTCAGGAATCACTCGCTTAGAGCGCCCTAAATCGAGTGTAGGTGGATAGTCCGCGCTCCCACGACGTCAGAGATAGAAGACACCAGGCGGCGTGTTACTGCCTGTTTCGAGTCAGTCTTCACTACCAACATGTTCAATTGATCAAACAACGTCATCTCTTTTCTCGTCACAGAGCAGCTGCACTTGCATCTGGATGCAAAGTCCAAATTACGGCTACACCGACAATCAACGAAGTCACGCAAAACAAAGCACTTGGTATGAGATCACGCGGTACAGTGACTTGGTACTGATTATTGTCCCAGGTGATGAGCTTGCCGACGTTGTTCTGAAGCGTTATGGCGCTATAGATTACGAATGGGGTATCAAGAATGCTTCTACTGATTTTGTGAGTGTTTCGCACACCTAGAAAGTGCGACAGAGCTGACGTTTTGGACCAAAAAAGGGGAATATCTCATACTGTGTGTCTGACCTCTATGACCTGGGGAGGGCGTAGGCGACCTCTGCTAATGAAGTTCTTGTTCGTCAGTGATGCCTGGTCTTCACCCTGGTTTTTGTAAGTAGCGCAGGTTCCAAACAAACCATACTAATCACTTTTTTCAAGCCATCCCGACCATTCCAAATGGCGGAAACCATACCCTAGGATTCACGGAAGCCGCACGTTCCCAAGTATCCCATGACGCCTGTTTGGTGGTTTCGAAAGCACTTGCGGCCGTAGGCATGCGAGTGTTGACTGACGAGGCGTTCTTCCAGAAAGTATGTGTTATGCGTCGTTCGGGTAACTTTGTTTTGACTGTATTTTGCAGGTGAAGGACACATTTGAAGAAGATAAGAAACTAAGAGTGTAGCTGCTAATCTTTGATGGGGTTGCCCTGTAGGATCAGAAGGAAGAATTTGTGTATGTCGAACATGTTTATATCGAGTATGTTTCTTCAGCTCTTTAGCTGACCTCCAATGATGAACACATGCATGATGAATTTGTCTTTAAAACGACTCGTAGAGTCCAAGCACGGTCAGAGTTACCAGTAGGTTTCATCCACTTATTACACCGTGGTTCAGCGTAGCAGCTATTTGTCTCGTCTTCTCAAAGTGTTGGCCATGGCATGACTATCTCACACTGGCAGCTGTGGTGTTTTACATCAAGATTTCCACGGCGTGCTTAGCTATATAATATGGGCTATATATTCTCTGTTCGGCAGTTCCAACTGGACGTCTTAGGGTGCAGGTACTATGTGGACTTTTTCCCTTGTCTCATGACCGTCACCGGCCCGCTTTCGTTGATGTCTTGACGTAATTTCGTACCGGTCCCGACTCCGAGTCAGCGCTAGAAGTTGATTTACCAGACCACAAGATCTCGAAGTTCTAATCTGGAAAAGAATTTTGTCCAAAGATATGGCTAATACCAGTTGGCCTGAGAGTACCAGTCTCCGCCAGTGCTAGTTGCCAGTCTGGAATTGACTATCATTCTAACTCTTTCAAATTGTTTCTGACATGACGACAGGTCAAGCTGATGTTCTTTGGCGGCCAGAAGATGACTATCAGGTCAAACCGACACTGGAAGAAGGGGACATTTATCGACCAGATATCCTTAAGGTTGTAGAAACTGCTATCGATAGTCTCAGTGGCAAGCTACGGGAACTGAGTCTCGATATTCATGGTAAGATGATCATGTTTTTCGCCCACAAGAAATACCGATATACTAGTAGATGTGCAGATCATCCGGAGCTTAGATATGAAGAAAGGTATGCCCGCATCTCGAACCCAAATTGCAACCAGTCGGCGGGCAATCAAACTAATCATCGGCCGCTCAGATACGCTCATGATGCATATACCTCCTTCCTAGAGAAGCACGGTTTCGAAGTCACGAGGCATCACCTTCTGGAGACTGCATGGGTTGCGACATACACCCACGGGCTGGGCGGACGCGTTCTAGGGGTGAACTCAGAGATGGATGCGCTCCCGGGCATTGGACATGCGTGTGGACATAATCTCATCGGCATCGCAGGTGTCGCCGTCGCCTGTGCGGCAAAAGCAGCGATGGAGCAGCTTAATATCGACGGGAAGGTGATTCTTCTTGGTACACCTGGTATGTCATTTTCTCCTGATCGCGATGGATAGATCATATACCCTCAATAGCTGAAGAAGGTGGGATTGGGAAAGTGAAGCTGTGGGAGAGGGGAGCATACAAAGAGATGGACGCGTGTCTCATGTCCGTGACCAGACCTGGCTGACCTCTGTTATTTTCTCGTCGACTCACGTTCATGATAGGTGCCACCCTGGTCCTGGGCCTCTTCATTCCATCAGTTTGAGCAGCTGTCTTGCAGTTATACGTCTGGAGATAGATTACTCAGGCCACACGTGCGGTCTCCCAATGTCTGTCTGGCTTGAACTCTGATTCGTTCCTCGTAGTGCGCACGCTGCACTTAGCCCCTGGGAAGGAAAGAATGCGCTGGATGCAGCTGTTCTGGCGTATACAAACATTGCTTTACTGCGCCAGCAGATTAAGCCTACGCATCGTGTGCATGGAATTATCCAGGGCCATGATTGGGCACAGAGTAGTAAGTGTCTTGTCATTCAGCGCTGGATATACTTTTGAGAGCGTGTGCGACAGTCATCCCAGATAACTCAAAGATGTAGTAAGTGTGGATTGACTCCAGAGACTTGACGCAGTTGGTGACATACTTCAGCTATTATGTCCGTGCGCCAACCACTGTTGAAGCGGAAGAGACGCTCAAGCGTGTCATTCCCTGTTTTGAGTGAGTTATTATCCGGTATTCATGTCACCCTAATCCCAGACTTCGCACAGAGCAGCAGCACTTGCAACCGGGACGAAGGTTAAAGTTAACAGAGGACACACTGGGAACGAACTTGTGCAGAATAAAGTCCTCGGTGTGTCTTCTTGATGGCAATCCCGTGATTCATCCTATAATTTTCCCAGGTGACGAACTGTCTGATGTGGTTAGGAAGAAGTATGGCGCCATTGACTATGAATATGGGATTAGCGGTGCATCGACCGACTTTGTAAGCGTGCTTGTATAGTATCTCAAACAGGTTCACCAATTTCACTTTAGGGCAATATTTCATATTGTACGTCTTTGTCGTAATGTCTGGCAGACTTTGAAAGCCATTATCCACCAGTGATGCCTGGCCTACACCCCGGGTTTTGTTCGTACAGTTATCTTTTCTGTCTCTGATGATTACTGACTCCCGAACCACGTCACAGCGATACCAACGGTACCGGGAGGCGGTAACCATACTCCAGCATTCACCAAATCGGCACGTTCGCAGGCTGCTCACGATGCATGTCTCACTGTCTCAAAGGCCCTCGCACATGTTGGCATGCGCGTGATCACAGACGGTATATTTTTGCAGCAGGTAAGATGGTGTCTCTGTCTAACTTTCTGATTGCTACAACACATTTGACTGCAGGTGAAAGATGCTTTTGAGGAGCGAAAGAACAACAGGATGTGACAAATGAAAACAAGGCGCATATAGGCACCAACAACATAACTACATAGCAAGACTTACAAATCCAATGATTTCTGATTGCGCTTTGACTCCAGACCAAAACTTGCTGGTCGAGTTGCTCACCACTTTTCATGAGCAGGACGCACTGTTTGGAAGAGAGTGAAGACGGGGTAATGGCAAATTGGAGCTACGCTTACGGTCAATTTCCCAAGTCCAGGCTGAACTATCTTGTTCGACGAGGTGCAAGTACGACTGAGGGATGTGATGAGTTTAGGCGCGTATTACCACAAGAATACTCAAACCTTGGCAATAGAATCAGGATCGAGTCGAACATCCTGATCAGCCTCCCAAGAAGGGTTGTTGCGCTGAGATTTGGTGCGGTCAGTAATGATGGCTGTTCTCATTAGACGATACTTTGTAGATGCTGACAGTATGCTTACTGCCGTCGATAATGCTCTGAGCAGCGCATTTGAACGTTCATGAATACTCTTAGCACCAGAAGGTAGGGACTCACATGAGCGACCTAAAGGTCAAGATATCAGTACACAATCAATCCCAAGACGATGCAGAAGACACCCACATGTATATTCTTCTTGGCGAACTCCTTAGCTAGGCTCTGCGACAAAGCCCTTATCCCAAACTTGCTCGCAGAAAATGCAGAGGTCAGAACATTGCCTCGGATAGAAGCCGTTGCGCCAGTGAAAATAAGGGTGCCCCTTTTACGAGCATTGCCAGCAACTCCGCCCTCATTCGCGGTCTCAAGCTCGAGTTTTGTGAACTCAAGAAGGGCCTCGCGTGCAAAGGCGAAAGCCGCTAAAATGTTGGTTTCAATCGACTCACGAACTTCGTCTTCCGTGATATCAAGGAATGGCTTCCAGACACCATAGCCCGCGCTGACTTTATGGATGCTGTGGTGTAGTCCTTGAGAGGGAATGCTGCAGCCTGTTCCAAAGGATCTGGTCAACGTGACTGAATAGGAGCGCACATATGGATAGGAATCAGCACCTCTCCGCCTGCTTGGCTGATCTCTGTAGCGGGTTTATTGAGGTACTCTGGCCCTCGAGAGATAAGAGCGACTCTGTAGCCAGATTTGGCGAAGAGACGGCTGTGTTTGTTCACACATTATCAGTACAAGTTGGCGAGGAAGGAGGTAGTACTATGTACGCGGTTGCAGCTCCGGTGCCTGTGCAAGACGTCAGGCACGCGTGTTTGTACCCACTTCGAAGGACTTACCGGTGCCATTGCCGATACCGGCGACCACGAACAAGGGGCGGACTGAGGACATCTTTCAAGTTGATGAAGTTATGAGAAGAGAGGAGAGTAATGATAATATCATCACTGAAATTCACTTAGCCTGATATGAGTCGAGTTATATTACCCTTTCAGCTAATTTTGTTTGGCCATGATGTACCCTGATATACCGGTGTATTGGATTATCAAGTGCACGTGATAATATCGTTTTTGGACCATATTCTCCTTCCATGCAGCGCTTGATATGCCAATATAATGGTATATCAGGCGACAGACGAATGCCAAGATTTTTGCAACTCTCGGTCTCATCGGAACCCATTGGACATGCAATTATATCCCACTGGCAACAGCTTATCAAGTTCCGAGTGCTCTACATTGCGCATCTAAGACACAAATCAAACTATTGGTTTTTGGTCTGTTTTCTCTTTTATTTTCTTTGTGATGAACCATTATCACCTCATGTCAGATTTCTCGCTTCTAGTACTGGTGTTCCATCAAGGACTCGGAAGCAGTCGAGCTTCTGGCCTCACCACAATGTTTGCCAGTCTCAGAGTGCACGTCCTGTCAATTCCCTGCAAAAGACCACTGACTCGCTGTTTGATCATGCATACTGCGACATAGCCGCTCTTTAGCCTCTTTTCCCTTCGATGTTCTCTACCATGGCAAAGGTTCGTTATTTTAGTCATTTGTCTTGAACTGATGTTCCGAGTCGAACTACTAGACACTAATTTGGTAGGCAAGTTCGGTCTCATGTTCAAGTATGTAAGTACTCGAGAACCGAATTCCCCTTCAAGCAAAGCAAGCAAGCGGTTCGGTTCTCCGTTCGTTTTTGTTGTCCGCTATTGATACCGAAGCTCGCAGCCCTGCAACCCTGCTCCATTCCTAACTTTAATAATGCAATTCTTCCTATTCTGAAACAGTTCGGCTCCTGGATCTGAAAGTAAATGAGGTACGTGTTGGCAGAGCGAGTCAAGACCTCAATCACCGCTCACCAAGTATATTTTCTAGCCATTTATAAGAAATAGTAGTTCGGTACTCGTTATCAGACTCTATCGGACCTTCTTTGCGCCCCGGTGATGCTCTGTACCCACACAATCACCTGCTTTACCTTTACTCACTCATTAATACTACTTTCTCGACAAGTCCTGGGCCAGAAAATCCCCTCCTGGTCTGCGTTTCCCTTGGATTTCTAAGCTTGTATGTCTAGGAAACTTGGCTTCGACAATATGGCTAGGAACAACCCCACAGGAAACTCGACTTGATGGTAGAAATTCGATTGGATGGCCAGCCCTTGATCCCATGGCTAACTCCCATTGCCGAACTGTATCCTATCGTTGAACTTGATCATCTACTGCCGTGCTCGATGCTCTACTACTGCGCTTGATGCTCTACTACCGCTCTTGGTGCTCTACTAACATGCTACCACTCTCGATGCTCTACTACCATGCACAATATGCTACTGCGCTCGATGCTCTGCTCGCGCACGAGTCTATGCCCTGCAAATCCTGCATACGAGATCAGTAATACGAAATAACACCTGCATCTTGCTCGTGTCGAACTTCAAGATGCTCACAGTACTTTTCATGACCAACCATTTGTTACAGTCGCATTGCAAATGAGCTACCGAGATAGAGGCTAGTGCCAAGATACCATTGAGCTATGGGATACATGTGTAGAGTACCATACTCGGAGTCCTGGTATATACATGTAATCATTATGTAGATCGGCCACAAATGCTATGTATTAAAGCTATATATGATAAGTAATGGGCATGCATGTGGGGTAGACACGAATTGGTTCCGCAGAATCAAACATTCTGTTATATATATTACCAATATTAGTTTTAGCTAGCTAATCACCTTCTGCGATATTTCAGTTGCTGTTGCTTAACGTCTGACTCTCCGTTGTGTATTTATAAGGTAGTGTATTGGGTGAAAAGGATGTTAATTTCTTCACTTATAAGCCATACTTGGTAGTACGACAAATATGTATGATCATTATTTAAATTGGTCAAGGAGGCTAGGTGTTTAAAGCTATATATGACATTATCTAACCACTTGCCATATTTTACCAGATTGCGGGTATTATGACCATTATAAGACAGATATAATGGTTTATAGCACATCTTGATTTTCAGTGATGATTGAACCGGGCGATATTTATAAGCCCCGGCCTCTCAATGCGCAATCAGTCGTAATCATGATCACAGCATAGTGCTAGTACTAGGAATCATCATCGTTGTCAGCATCAGAATCAACCCCAGTGAGAATCGGACCTTAGTAGTACTAGCCTGTTTTGATGATCCATCCGAGGATCCGGAAAGTAAGGAGTATCATTCGGATGAAACTTTGAAAATGGAGAGTTATAGTGCTGAATTTGTGGAGTGTCTGGGAACATAAATTCAGTAGGTGAAAAAGTCATCAAGGTCTGAATGAAAGATGTAGCTGCTCAGTAGGAGGACATCTCAATCCTGGAATATCCGGGACATCCGAGACATCTGAGACATGCGGCCCATCCGACCCATAATGCAAATCTCATGGTCACAACATACCATGTGACCCACAGCGCTGTCGCATGTGTCGCGGCTGGAGGACGTCCGGGAAATGGAAACTCTAGGTCTAGTCTATGTAGAGTCCACGTAGAGTCCTGTCTGGGGGTGTGCCAGCCGCCCAGCCAGATTAAAGCGGAGTTTGATCCTCAATTGGGACGTTCGAAGTATGATTAAGCTTGGGAGTGACACGTGACAACTGCGTCGGCCCCTAGCTTGTCAACATTCACCATGATGACCATCGTTGTTGCCCGTACATATAAATTTAAATGACATTAGTATATATAAAAAAGTGCTGATGCGCAGGGTGGGGTTTGACATGGTATGTGGTAGGTGTGACGCGATGATGTCTGGAAAGATTTGTAAGCAGGTTCGGCAGTACCCGTATGGGTATCGGGTACTCAACACTTCAATGTTCAACCCATACCCATACCTGTGACCCGCGCGGGTTACCTATACCCATGCGGATCCCTGGGCGGCGGGCATCATCAAGATGAGGGGGGGGTCTAAGTCACAACTTGAAGCTTAGTCACATCGTCCCGATTTGGAATTAAACTCCGCTTTAATATGGCCGGGCGGCTGGCACACCCCCAGACAGGACCCAGACAGGACCCAGAGTGGACTCTATGTAGACTAGACCTAGAGTTTCCATAAGCCTTACATTCACTGCGGCTGACACCATGACTGGCATGGCTGCTACTACTAGTACCCATAACTGCAATAGATGAAGTGGACTGGCCGGCGGATAGGATTAGAATGATGGCCCTCTTTTGGAGGAACATTCAAGTTCACAAATTTCGTTCCTTAAGGGATCCGATCGCACAAAAGGCTCTGCTAGCCTATCAGTCTGATTCAGGCAGAGCAATGCAAGCATTGGCATGTTGCCATAAAAACATCAGTAGGACCTTATGACTTATCTCTTGTCAATGAGAAAGTTCTAGAGGCCACAAGGGAGAGAGTCTATTGGGAAGAGCAAGATAAAAGAGAGTTGGATTAAGAGACAACGCTCGAGATTATAGGGTCAGTGTCATTTATTTTAACTGATCAATGAATATGCGCTCATCGTTTTATTCTTCTGGTGATACATAGGGAAATGCATGGGTATGGGGTATGGGTATATGTGGGGTATGGGTATGGGTCAGGTATTATGATACCCGCACCCCTACCTGTACCCTCATGCTGGATTTTGATTAAAATTATTAGATGTACTCAAGGTCAGCGCATTCCTTTTTTGTCATACTAATTGTTTTGTTTACATCTGTTAGATCCTAAAGGATGCAGCACTGTACTTTTCGTGCACAACACCCAATCTTACAATGGTGATCCCAGCAATGGATCATGTTGACAATATGCTCACATTGTACTTGCGCAACAAAAAATATATGCTCTCAATCCATTCTGCAGTTCAGCTCGCCAAGAATACTCTCAGCTGCTCATGGACAATTCTGTGACATATTGAATCACAATGGGTATGTAATGTTCAATTTTTGTTTTTGTTTTTAAAAGACTGACATTTATATAACTCTAGTCTTACATCCACAGCATAAACTAGCATACTTTAAGGCAGCACGATAGGAAGATGAGTGGGTCGAAACAGCAGAGAGACTTGTATGCAAAGAATTCAAACATTCATACTTATCGATTGACAACAACTCTGATTTGGGGTCCGAAGATGGTGTCTTCGAGTCAAATGACAATGTACAGATGGTATGTTTTGTTTTATTCTTTATTTTGCATCTGTACTGAATAATTCTTAGAGTGATAATATATTTGACAACCTCCCAGTGCTCACACCCCCAAAACCTGTTAACTCAGACTCCAAAATTGACCAGTACCTCCATATGGATGTGGAACACACCACTCACCCTATTGCTTGGTGGCACGAACATCAGAAGTCTTTCCCCCGACTTTCACGCATGGTTCAATGCCGCCACTCATTTCATATGTTGCGCATGTAGACTCGACTCTGGATGGGGGACTAATATGTTTGTTGGACAAGGTATGTGTTTTTTTTGCGATATCATGCTCGCAGCTCACTTGAAATTATCTGCACTCGCCCATGCCTCCACTCCTCCTCTGGTGCCATCCACATATGTTCGAGTCACATCAGCATTTGCTGACGTGTGCTGGACATATGTGCTAAGCACTGGTGGCTGACCTGCAGGCTTATCCCTTGCAGGTAATACCCTGGGTCCATTTTGTCGATACCTGTAAGAAAACCCATACCTGCACCTGTACCTGCACCACGATGTAGCACTCGAGCTTGCGCTGAGCATGTATTCTCTTATTTCCCAATACATGTCCAATGCCCATCATGCACTAATCACTTCCCGATGCTAATCCGCTCAAACCAATGCTAACCCGACGAAACCCAACACTTTGACTAGCGGACCTGACGTTTCGGCTGCATTGGCCGACCCGAAATCCTGCGCACTTGTCCTATCTGTGTCCAGTCCTGTCTTGCTAGCCCCACTAGGTGCGTAGTTGATTATTTCGCACATTACTCATGTCATAGCCAGCGCTATTACACGTTTTCCCATCATCCGCAGCACCTCATGTTTATTTACATGTACTTCGGACCTGAAATCGTACACTGCTACTTTCACCTACGGGCTTCTGGATTTCTATGTACTTACATATATATATTGGACTGACTACGAGTATTTTCATCATCCAAGTAGTAGGGAGCCATTTCCCGATACTTAGTGGTCAAACCCAATATTTCGTAGTTCTTAGTTGACATTGCAAATATTACTGCTCTTTCTATCCAAAACACCCGTCATTTTTTTTTTGAATCCAATTTCTGTCCTATTGAGAGTTATACTCTATGGAGGACAATATGATCTAGTCTAGGGGACCCCCTGTGTCCCCGACGCATCTCTGAGTTTGTGAATGCCCTAGCGTGAGGTGTACCCCTGCTAGTCCGCCATTCCTGCTGGCCATTTTAGACATGCAACCCGGCGAAGATGAGATGACTGTGTGTATCTGTAGCTAAGGTATGGCTATCATAATGATGAACAGAGGCACGTACTTGGCCGCTTGCGGCGGGCAGGTACAGGAGTCTGAGGTGGATGCAGAGGTAAGTATGTATTTAGGTTCCCATGACTTGGCCAATGGGACGGTTTACCATGGGCTGACTTAATCCAGTGATGATCTGAGGTGACTCCGTGTAAACACCCATCATTATCGTTAATCCGCATACCACTCGCTTTTCCAACATTCGCTATCATGATTCCCGCTAGCCCGCTAAACCTGAACCCGAAGCCCGCTAACCTGAAACCTGAAAACATCGGATCCGACACTTTGGCATTCGGCATTGTAGATATACCTTCGGACTTCATTTCTCGCGCTTGGACTTTTGACCATTTATCGTTTCACTAACTACAGACCATTCCATACAGCAAACCCCTCGGGTCGAATGCACTTGTCTTGCAAGTATAGCAGACTAGGCTGTGCACGACCACAACACATTTTTATATTGCTAAACACTTACTTCGTGTAGTGTCCAGCAATTGTTGTATCTCTACACCAATATTCCACCCCTTTGAGCATTTGAACCTATCCGCATCCACTCACTCACATGTGATTCCAATGGTGATTCCGGCCCATCCGCATCCTTTGACAGGCTATTTCAATTCCCATCCTGGCCCATCCATACATCCTGAGATTTCATTTTTGTGTATTCTGGCCCACCCATATACACTGAAAGACTATTCACATCCACATTCCGGCCCATCCGTACATCCTGAGATTTCATTTTCATCTATTCTGGCCCACTTGTGTCCCCCCAAGGACCATTCACATACACATTCCAGCCCATCCATATATACTGACATTCCAATGCTGCATGCATTCCAGCCCATCCAGAAGTATCAGATAGCCATATCCATATGGGCCCCACCAATTATACTGGGTACGACCTGCATTTGGGCCCAGCTCAGATGAGCCATCTTACATGAAAGAATCTCAACTTTGGGTGTCCATGTAATATGGAAAGTATTTACCGAATTATGTGATGGTGATTGAAGAAAGCTCAGCGTCTGTTAACCCTGGAACGGCCATGGGTGACTTGACATTTGCAAAAAGAAAGAGAACTTTATCTCAAGTGTCTCCACCAAAGGTGAGTCATTTGTTTATATACATTAATGTCAAGGTTGACAAATATTTTAGAAGGAAGGTGGCCAAGGTCCACCGAAGTGTCGCAAGGATGGTTGGCCACATACTGTCAGATCAATTTCACCCATCCCATCTTCTACAGACATTCAAGAATCTGGATTTATCTTGTCTCCTTTGGCACCTATATTGCCTTTGAATCCAAACTCTGGCAGTCCTATAGATGATGCATCTGTGCTTCTCGACACATGGGATGAAGAAATGGCCGATGAAAATCAGGATGCAGATGGAGAACAACAACAGACGTCTTTCTCTCCAACTCATATCAATGAGGGTGCAATTCCACATGACACTGATCCACCAGATGTTCATGAACACATCATAAAAGGCCCTACTTCTCTGCTATTAATGTTCTTCCTTCCAGCCCCGTAATCCTTGTGCCTGACATGCAACCATCTGAACTTCAGCATTCAAGGAATACCATGCCCTCCCTCTCAGCAATTGAATGTCTTGTAATGACTGAGAACAAGATGCAGGATAAAAGCATGACACCTGAAAAACCTTGTGTTGGTATACCCACTCCCCGACCAATGGAAGAGGTCGCTGGATCTCATACTATACCTCAGGACAACTGTGAAGTAAGTAAGTTCAAATTATTGAAGACAGCATTTAATGATTTAGATAGAAGTGGTTCCACATGATGACACCACCATCACCATGATGTGATTTATGGTACTCATTGTGATATCATTTGGTTGAACACCTTTTTAGCTACATCATGCACTCCTCACACACTACGATACTGAAGAGACACCAACATGTCTGCCTGCAAATGAATCATTTGACCACAGAAAGTCGATGTATTGTGGTTTCATTTTGTATACCATTTGAAACACTGTGGAATCGTGTTGATCTCAATGTCATCCCTCTTATTTTGTATAATGGACATTTGACTCAGAACCAGAAATTCAAGCAAAGAACTAATATACTTTGCACTTTGATTCATTTTCACATTGGTAGAACATATACATGATTTTGAGGCATGTCTCTTGCAAGCTACTAAGTAGGTATGAAATATGACATAGTTATATAGCCTAAAGGTACAAAATGCAACCTGATTCAATCTTCACTAATGCAAAGACACCGAAGTATTACACTACTGTCACCAGAAGCTTTGTGACAAATATTTTATTTCTATAGTAATGTTTGTCTAGCACGAGATTTTTTGAAAGACAAAATAACCAGTGATCAACATCATCCTGTGCATGTATACAAGTCCCCATTTCACATCAATTCAATCAAAATATGTTTGTGTTTTGCAAGGTGTCGATAGTGGTATATTACAGTTAATAATGCTGATGATATGAGAACTACAAATGTATTAAGGAAAATAGAAGTTCGTGATTATATCAACATTGGATACACTAGGAGACATGATGATGTAGATGTATATACATGCACCAATCAAAATACATTCATTTATAATATATTCAAGTTGAATAATAAGTCAATTTCTGTCAAGAATGTCCAATGATGTTCAAGATATTCCGAAACATGCCTACATTGAACAAGATACAAGCTGAGGCATTATCAACACAAAAGATACATCTGTGACTATCATGATGTATATTGACATGTCAATTCTTCCACTAGACATCAATATTTATGGTTTTGTACTTTGGGTAATACAATCACACATTACAACATGCTCCTAGATTGTCCGATGTTGAATCGGAGCTATTGGTTGAGTGTCTTGCAGAGCCTGTCCTCAACTTCACTGGGAATGCGCACGTTGAATTTCAATTGCTGTTTAAGATTATTTCCTGTTACATTGAACGACTGCAATGCCATTCAAATTGGACCTTGATCTCACTATTGGTGTCCTTGGTGTGACACTCAGACCTGTGCTGGGCAGGAAAGAGCCTATTTTCATATTGATGTCAAGGAGTATAGAACACTATCAGTTTCCCTATCCTTATCCGTCCCTCATACAACAAGTAACCCCTGTGAAAGCCGAACCTGCATTTTCCCACGCTTCGGACGCACATTCCCGCGCTTTGGATACCTCGGAAATGCATTAGGAAAGTCCTTCATCCATCCATAGTCCATCCAAACCCCATTGGTATGTGAATTTCCTTACCTCAAGGCTTGTAAAATGTGTTGCAGCCTTATTACATGTCCTTATATATTTCCTATATTTCCTATCCCTTCCTATTCCGAGTGAGAGTCTAGACAGTATGAGTTGACTATTACTTGGGACTACTTACTACACTTCCCTCATACTGTATACCTCTCCCTATAGGTTTACCTTCAGAGTAGTCCCTAGTAGTGCATGCTTTTTAGCCCCTATTAGGTCCCTATACCTAGACTTTCCTTACCTCACATTATACCTTTGCCCTCACTCTCTAAACCTCGTTTCTTAACCTCCCTATACCTTGTCCATACTTTCCTGCACTTTCCACACCTTTGGCTGTGTGTTCCCATGCTCTGGATAGCCCTGGATACATTCCTATACCTTGCGCATACCTTGTCCACTATTTTCCCACGCTTAGCACACCCTCGGGTTGCACATATCCATCATTGTTCTAGTAGCAATTCCCTTTAGGGTCAAACACATTTGTATAGACATAGCAGCTAGGCATTAGCTTGACCCAACCTTTTCTTGCCACCCAGCAAGATAGTTGTTTCCACATCAGAGAGAACATTCCACGATCAAGCCCATCCATCATGTGGAGGAATGGGCATAATACTATTCTTCCAACAGTTTATAACAAAGCAATTGTTTCCCAAGCACTGTCTATCAACCGATGTGTCATTATTACTGGTGTACCATACAACAAACCTCAAGACACACTTACAACTGAATATCTTGATGAACAATTTAGAATTTCGCCATTAAGACCTGTAGTGATTCATGGTATAAAATATTTTCCATGCTCATTTTCATATTTGTTCATGAATGTTGTAGATATTCAGGCACAATACAATGATCACACCAACCCTATCATTTTCAGTAACATACATTCCTTTATGGAATCCATGAATGATCCAAAGAAGATACAAAGCATCCTGGATATACTGCTTGCACAGACTACTTTGCCCCAATGTCTCAGGCAAGTCATAACATTCCTCTGACCATGATACATTTGTAATGAATAAATTGAGGAACATCAACCACGGCCTTGTGCATGGTTGGAATGAAACAAGTACCTGCATTGAAATATGGTCAAAGATTCATCCGCAGAATTTTACCTTGAAAGGATGGAGACTGCTCAGCCATGCAGGATTTACATCCTCATCATGATTGTCATATCCTGCGTTCCAGACCCGGACCTATCACACACATCATTTCCAGATTTCCAGATCTGGCCGACTTCTATCTATCATCTGGATCCGACCCGCGTCTATCTTCCGTGCCTTATCCCTTTGTACGTTCCTTCTCCAGTTAGACTATACTCATTTTCTGTACCTCATTTCATTTCTGCCTTTATTTTCCTATGTTCTCATTTCCGTCTTCATTTACTATTTTCTGATAGACTAGTGTTTGACTTTTCTATACACTCCGTCCACAGCCTCACATAGCTTCAGACTGCACTGACTGATTCTTTGTTAAGTCCTCAGTAGTATATAAACCCTGTAGAATCTTTGTACTTCCTCAGTTCGAATATTATCTTAGACTCTGCTCATTCCCTCCTCCGTCCAACTTGAGTTCTTCTCTTGTCGTCCTCTGCTAGTCTTAGGATTGACTCCTATAGACTTGTCACCTCCACCTCTACCTCTGGTAGTCCTCCACTGTTTCCTTTCTAGTTCAGACAATGTCCGGATTAGTCTTATCACTTGTTCCCGAACATCTGCCGGAATTCCCACACATCGGACATCGTCCGACAACCTTCGGACATTGTTCGACAGCCTTCAGAAGTTAGGGGCACGTACTTGGGTAAGGGGCGCAGTGCATGAGCTGAAGCCAAGCCCTTCAGATTCGACCCTTGAGCACGTTCTTAACAACGATGCAGAAGGCACATTGATGTGGATCAGAATGGAGTGTGAGGTAAAGCTTTGGGCAATATTCTATTTGAAAAGTGGAAGTAGCAATCACATTCAACTTCAGCATCTCTCCATTAGACTTGCAGATTATAACACTCACAAGGAATGGATTCACAATAATTGTTATGGCGAGGTTATTGCACTATATTCTGGAGATATGCTGTAAGTTCTGTGAAATAGGTGGCATGCATTGCTGACACTTAGGTGAATAAGGATCCTTCCTCCTGGAGTTGTGCATGTGGTTTACATGCCAGTACCATCATTCTGTACCAGAGGATATTTTTACCATTATTCCTGTATGCACCTCACTGAACTATCACACTACATCGATGCTGAGGTCACTAAGACATCTACCAACCAAGATATGGAGCATGCATTGGAGACGTTGCATTAAATGGTGATTGTACTTCTATATCTCTCTCTGAGAAATGGTCTGTATTCATGTTTACTATGTGTTTTGATAAAACTTATCCAAACATTAGTGCTTCACAAGAGATCATTATTAAGCCTTTGTGTTATGGCTATGAAATGACTCCACTATCGTACTCAGGAGACTAGTGATCAGTGTGTGAAGGAAACAGAGACTGGACCTTGCTCAGATATTGCAGAAATTGTTCTTAAGTTTGTTGGTGTATCTAAGCGGAAAAGACCTGGGGATATCTTATATCAAGGTGATCAGTTCAAGCCAGGTGACGTAATTGATAGGGTGGCACTCCTTACTCAGTTCCAGCTGAAGTTAGACCTATAGTTCACCCCATTCTCTACTTTCAATTGGTAGAAAACTAGATCTCTCTTCAAGTGATATGATCCATGTATTATTAACATTGACATTCATCGCAACAAATATGTGAAATATTCAATTGGTATTGCTTGTCAGTGCATGTTGTTTGTATGTAAAATTGTTGCACTATGATATCCGTTACACATATGATCATGTATATATGGTAACAATAGCAACACTTGATACCAGTGTATTTTATGCATGTTCATTGACCTGTAGGAAATAGAGTGGGCATGCTCTTCAGTACGTCAATATTTCATATTCAACTTCCACTTTCCTGTGAATATCTTTAAACAGACAAAGTGTTTGGTAATATCAAATGGCTTGCATCTTATGAGCAATAAACAGCCATTTCCCATGCCATAGATGTGTATAAGGCTGATTTAAAGAAACATCACATGGAAGTAAAATCACTTCACATGATTTCTACAAAAGTCCCAAAGGAACGCAATTTTCTCATGATGTTTTTCATTGTCTGTGCTGATATAGTGGGAAGATCCCTTGGAGGGAGACACGAGACATTTATTTCATTGCAAATACAAATATATTGCTAGTACCAGAGGAAGACAGGAATATAGTTTAATATTGACTTGTCTTTACAAAGAGAGATTCCCACTTTGATTAAAAACAGCTAAGGTAGTATTTAAATTCTTTACTGCAAGCACAGCTTGGTGATAACATCACTCAAAGGGGTCTCAAACACGGAAATTATTCTAGTATTTGGCAAACCACCAGTCACGATAGTTCATATATACAGAGACTCAAAAAAGTAATGCACAGAATCGTTTTCTATGTATCTCCACCAAAACACAATACTTTTTTGTAATGTAAATTGCGAACTGTAGCCTGAGGTGTCCTCTACAAGGGCCTGAAATTAGTAAAATAAAATATTGATAACTGC